GAAAGAGACAGAGCTATTAGAAAAAGACAGAGCTTGACCCACACCGGTCGCTATCTCTTTCTTTCGGGCCGGTCATATTCTTTCAGCCTATGCGCAGTCCATATACTATATGTCGATGGTCGAAAGTGTGCACAGATTTTAACAGAAATATTGCCACTATTATTAGAAGATCTTCCACTGAACGTACGACAATTAATGTGGTACATACCAGCAAGATGGATGTCCTGCTCATTATTCTGTACGGATTATTATTGAATTGCTAAACAGAAAATATGGAAATCGTTGGATTGGTCGGTCAGGAAATAACAGATGAGCCGCACGTTCCCCAGATTTAACACCTATGGATTTTTATTTCTGAGGAAAATTAAAGCAACAAGTGCACAGCAAAATGCCGATAACAAGAAAAGACATGAAGGAGCGTATAAGAAGAGCTTATGTTGCGATTGATCCGAATGAAATTCGTCGTGCAGTGTTACCTGTATCGACACGTTTCAGAAAATGCGTTGATGTTCAGGGTCGTCATTTTAAATACTTGTTGTAACGGTAAATACGCAAATAAGTAAATTAGTGAAATATTTAAAAAAATGCCTTCAAACAATTTATATTTTTAATTACAGCTAACCTTGTTATATTTAAATAAACTTTCAATGTTTATTTACATATCGTGATACACGTGAACGATTAGCAATAAGAAGAAAAAACACGAAATTATTCAAAGAGTGCCTTGAAACAATTTATTATCCATTACATTCAATTATTATCCATTATTGAACTTGCATAACCTTGAATAACTTTCAATTATAAGTTGATATTCGTCTTAAAATGCTCTATCAGAATGTAAGTAAAAAACATATATATATATATATCATTCCATTTAAAATAACAGATTTGACCTTTGCCTATCCTTCCTTTGCTTCCACTTACAAAACAATTATTACAAAACATTACATTATGTGCCCCTCGAAATAAAGCAACTTTTGTTTGACACTTCCTTCTATTGTTAAAAACAAGAGAGTTATTCAGGTGACTTGTTTTAAATGCACTACCCTGTATATTGTGTATGTATATACAAGGTGTTTGTAAAGTGATGAAAAGTTTTGTTGTATAGGAGTAAAATGGACTGAACTGAGAAGAAAAATCCTGTATTTTACAATTTTCGCAATAGTTGATGATATTAATTTATAAAAATATCCAAATTCGCCTGGCCTAATCGACATTGTCTAGCGACAACCATTACCGCTCGTTATAAACAACATGTACTTAGCAACAGCGAACGCGCACGGCGCGTCTCGCTGGGCGATCATATCTAGTCGCGCGCTTGCATTTAGCGGTGGGCCGAGCAAATTTGAATATTTTTATAAATTAATATCTCGTTAACTATTGCGAAAATTGTAAAATGATAGAGGTTTTTTCTTCTCAGTTTAGTCCATTCTACCACTATGCGATAAAACTTTTCATTACTTCTCAAACATCCTTTATATATTGCCTGAGGCATTCGGTAACATCGAAATATTTAAACACACACTATTCTCTACTTTCATATCACACACATATTTACATGTACAGTACTGGATAAAATAAAGTACGCACTCCAAACATTTTCACATTTATGCGAATATCTCGCCAGTGCTGGCAGCCCAAATAACAATATGTTATCCAAAAGGTTTCTAAAAGATATCTTATTTTTGAATCTGATAACTTAGGCCTAATTGCACCAACGTGATTTCGATTTTAAGCGAAACTTAAACTGTCTCTGTCTCTATCTCCCTTTCGACTTTAAAACGAGATAGCTAGAGTTTTAAGTCTCGCTTAAAATCATAAAGTGTTGGTGCAACCGGGCCTTAATGCTACACCAATCCAGTATTCCAGTCATATATGTAATACTACTATATGGCTAGTGAGGCGTGGTTTATATGAGTGCGACAAGAAGAAACATAGAAGGATAATAGATGCCCGTTTATTGGTTGTCAGGGAGAGATGTTCAAATCGTTCAAATGCGCAGGTGCGGCGTTAAATTCAACAGCTTTATTAAGCAAAATTAGTTACTTTGTATTTAATACAAAACAAGATGTTAGCAATAGTTTATTATGTTATGAGAAGAATGGATATATGTAAAAATATTGGTTTCCGTAAAATCTTTTCAAGTAATAAAGTTATATATTAATATAAATAAAACGTAACGAAGACAATGAGAATTTTGCCGTATAATCTTTTCAGCCGTTTTATGAATGAAACAAACATCTGATGCTGGCATTATAGTATATGGTCCTTGATTCTTTATGTTCGATAACAGTGGCATAGTATTGTCTAATAATTGTAATTTACAAGTTGAACAATATATTTTTTTGTACACTTTATTACACACATAACCTGCTATATACAATACGACATTCTTCACAAACGGTGACAAATCCCAAAATGTTTTTACATAATAGTGAGCAAAATCAATCTTTAATTCATTGAAATTACTGGAATCACTGATTGTAATAACCTACAAAATATCACATGTAGAGTGCTACATAAGTGTATCGCGCAACAAATTGACGTCTGCGCGTTACAACAAACTGAACATAAATAAGGACAGAATTAGCATTGGCGGCACCTAGAGTCCTAGATATCAGAGAAGCGCAACCGATGTTCCGCGTTCTGATTAGCTGACTGTCAGCCAATCATGACATTCATTCAGTGGTATTAAAAATGGCTGACTAATAGACGATTGGTGGATTTCATATTTCGTCTGCAAACGACGCCATTTTTAATACTTTTCTTAGTAATTTTGCGATACTGACTTAAACCGGTTGCGCTTCTCTGATATCTAGGACTCTAGCGGCACCGTAGTGTTTCGATCGCAAACCACGCCCTATTAGCCATATAGTAGTTTACATATATGATTCCAGTGTAGTTTTGCACTCGCACCGTGTCAGCTAGGGCAGCACTAGAACCGTGTTAGTGCATATGTATCGAATGTGCCATAATATCCAGTTTGGTCACAGTATATACAGTAGCGCAACTCTCTGTCGGCACCTTTGATGTTAGTGTCACACAAAATGGAGTGCGCATGCGCGAAATAAGCAAGATGCCCAGTCGCGCCACCTAAACTTCTTTCTCACTTGCTCTTTACTCTCCATCTTTCCATCTTTTTCTAGCTACTCTAGCTTATTTGTATGTACTACATCGAATTCATCTAAATGTAATAAAAACTTAAAAAAATAGACCATAATTGTAATGCATTGTAAAATAAAAAGATAAGAAAATATAAGCTTATGTAAATATTGTATGTATAATATAAATATTATACTGGAAAAATATTTTAATTAAAGTCAGCGACATATATACAATGCGTTTTTTCCTGTTAGTTTGCTTGCGTTTTTGTAAATTATTAGAATTGCGTCATACGGAACGTAGATTTTCTAACTGAAACGTAAGCAATCCGGCAGGAAAACAAACATCATATATCGCAGGCTTAAGATATTAATGTAAACAACAAAAAGTAAAATTTAATGTTATACGGATTACATTTAAGAAAATAATTACTGTAATTATTACATTTATAAACAATATTTAATAATAACTTTTTTTAAATTAAATAAGATAATAATTTTTATGCAATGGTTGTATAGATTAACTATTCTCTTAGTAATCGTTCCTCGTTTTACTTAATTTTTTCCACTTTTTCACTATTTTATTTCCACAAACTTTTCGGTCACAAACTAGATTC